GACTCTCCTCGATCCTTCGAATCCAACTCCCCAATCCAATCAATTCTTGGAAACAATTGGGAGAATTGCAAAAATAGCTAGGAGAGAAACAGATGTTTGAAGATTTCGTCTCCAAGATCAATTCTCTTCTTCACGATCAATTTCCCTCTGCTTCTCCACCTCTTCGCAATCTGGTTCGTTCGCCTCTTTCTCATTCTTTTCTTTTTAAATTTAGAGATCGTAATGGGAGAAAATTCGTCGATTTAATTAAAATTCTGTTGATTTTGGTGTTCAATTTGATGGTTTTGATTGAATATTAAGATTTTGGAGTTATGGAAATTCATTGAGACAACTCTTCACTTTTCTTTGAAGTTGTTTTGTGAGAACCCTAGTGCCTTAACACAATGGTGGCCACCAAGAAGACTGTAACTCATCTCCTTCTCTGTCTCTCTTCTTTCTTCTTTATTTTCTTCTTTATTCCTTTTCAATCTTAATTAAAGAAGAGAAATAAGTTGATTATGGCTAACTCTTATAGAAGAAGTCCCATGAGAGCATCAACAACATGTCTGCTCGTGTCATGAAGAGTGGCAAGTACACTTTGGGTTACAAAACTATGCTTCACACCCTAAGAAGCTCCAAAGGTAACCTAAACTATTAACTTTGTTTTCGTTTTATTTCATGTATTGATGATTATATTATCTCTGTATTTTTGAGCTTCTTTTATGAACTAAAATGACTCTTAGCTGTGAACCCAAAAAAATAATTGTGTTTTAGTTGTTAGTTGTGACCCTTTTGTCATGAGAACTTAGAAATTATTGGGTTCTGACTGGATCTAGTCTTTGTTATGGGAATATTTCAATTCTTGCGGATTTGTTAAAAGAACCATTTTTTTTCTTTTTTCTTTTTTGGGTTACAGCGAAGCTGGTTATCATTACCAACAACCGCCCTCATTTTCGGAAGTCTGAGATAGAGTACTATGCGATGTTGGCTAAAGTTGGGGTTCACCACTACAATGGGAGTAAATTTCTTAACCTTCTTATTGCCTTCTACTCATATGCAAAGTATATTTGTTCTTTGGCTTCCTTTTTACTTTCCTGTTATTTATGGTTGTATAAGTTTTAAATTCAACATATAAAGTCATACATAATACTAGTAAACTTTGATTAGAGGGTTTTTCGTTTTCTAATTATGTCCAATTCTTGTTGCAGTGTGAAAGAAGGGTTAGATTTTTTTAAAGAGGCTACCAGCAGAATAGGGTATGGTGAGAAGATAAAGACAGCTATCGATGTTGTTGCTACTGATTTTTGCAAAGGTGATGAGTTCTTTCCTGCAAATTTCCTACACTAGTGGTAGCTTGTAGAGAACAACCTTTTTTTTTTCTCTTAAATCAAAAGTTAAATGACATTATTAGTTTAGAATCCTATTTTGTATCACTGTACATGAACTGTTGAAGTATATATTATGGTATGATGTTATAATGAACACAAAATTTTACATGTTCAACAAGTTTACGTATCAGATATAAAACTAATTGTGTGCTCTGGACCATCGTCCACATTGTCTACTTGTTCCTACTATTTGTCCAACTTGGGTTTCTCTACCAAGGATGCACATTTTTTCATGAATCTGGCTTTCTTTTTAACAGCCAATAATTTAATTTTTACTTCATGAATTATTTACAAGCGATATTGGTGCTTATGAGATTTATGCATAAATTCTCACGTTGAGTGGTCATATTGTTGTTCCCAATGGAGACATATGTGCTTGCTGATTTTCAAGTCTTTATGTGCATGTTTTTGAAGAATTTGATCTTGTTCCTATAGAAAGTGCTTCCCTTGCACAAGTTCATGTTGCTCATACGCATGATGGCAAAAAGTTGTTGTTAAAGTTTTATTCACTGTTATTTTTACCTAAAAGTTCATTTAGTATGCTAAGCAGAGTCCAAGTTTCCATGCAAATTATGCACAAATATAGGAGTAGAATGTTTCTTAATTGCTTTCTATGTCAAAATTATTTCCTCAATATTCAGGTTCAGTATACTCACATGACCGATACTGCAGTTGCAGATCATGCCACTGTGGAGCTGATTGTGAATACCCTTTATAAGTTTTTTCCTTCTTTTGACTATAGGTATGTTTCTGTATGGTTCATGTGCTTGTTAATTATCCCTCCATCTTCCAGTCATTGATAAAGCATTTATTTGCACGAAAAATAACTATAATATTTGGATGCTCCATTTTTTGTATATACCTAGATGGGTCACTCTGTATGCATCTATTAAAATGGTTTTCACATTTTCTGTTAATTGATATTTTTATGACTTACATGTGCAGATGGTTGCTTGATGAAATGCGTGAAAGTTTGCCCAAGGTCAACTACTTGCTTATTGCAAATACTGTTGCTATGTAACTGAACTTCTGTAGACTTGTTAGAAATGAAATTCCTCTAGGTTTCTATTTTCAATTATTTGAAATGAACTTCTTTTGCTATGTAAATGAACTTCTGTAGACTTGTTAGAATGAATTGTGCTACTGACTTTGGGTATTGGAAGACCACAGGAAAGGATAGGCCTATTCACTACAATAGTTAAGGTGTGGGGATGATAAAGACTCTGGCTTTCCACCGAGGTAAAGCTCCAAAAGGTGACCAAACTGATTGGGTTATGCATTTTTGTTTTTGGTTATGCACACATGATAGTGTAATTTTGGATTTTTATTGCTCATGTTGCTAAAAAATCCATGTATGGACTATTGATTTATATGCAATGAAGATAATTGATGTTATTGATCCACATTTTTGTATTGTGTCTCTCTTATTATGTTGATGTTCAATGTGTTGAATTACAAGGAGCAGCAACATTGTTCTTAAATGTAATCCTATTTGCCGCTAAATTTTAGTCACAGAAATAATAAACAATCCTGGACTAAGAAATAATAAACAATCCTGGACTAATCAATTATTACTGACTACAAAAATTAGTTTCCAAATCTCATGTACTATGGGCAATTATACTAAGATGTAGAAAAATCCATTTTCCTAATCAAATGATTAGTTATGGAATCAAAGAAAGCAAATTGGCCAAACACTTCTAGCAACTAAAATTGAGTTGCTTTCGCCATTGATAATTTAGTCATTAAAACACATTTTTTGCAATTAATTTAATGGTTGTAGAAAGGAAATTATCATATTTCGGTTCAACATTCACTGACTAAATTTTTTGGCAATTACAACTAAAGTTTTAGTCATTAAAAGAGGCATTTTGCAACTAAAAAAGTAGTTGCGAAATGCTTTTACCAAATTACCCTTAAGCATTCGGTGTCTATTTTTTTTGGGAATAACTATCTATTTTTTAGTCACTAAAAGATACATTCTACGACTAAATCAATAGTCACGATGTAATTTTACCAAATTGTCCTTATTCATTTGGCATCTAATCTAGGGGATTATTTGTTGAGGCAATTAGTAACTAAATTGTTGGTTGCTAAAGAAAAAGTTTTGGCGTCTAACCATGATTTTAGTCGTGGATACTTTCTACGACAACGATTTTGCAATTAGCTAGCGATTAGGAATTTTAGATGCGATAAATAATCAAAGTCTAAATTTGACTATTAGCGTCTATTTTTGATAGACGTCAAATGCCATTTTTCTTGTAGTGAAGCCGTGAGCTCAAAGGATAGCAAGCAATGGCTAGCTACCATGAAAGAAGAGATGCACTCCTTAAAGGTTAATAGTTACTGGTCACTGGTTCAAAAACCTAAAGACTAGAAGCTTGTGGAGTGCAGATGGCTGTTTAAACTAAAAGAAGGTATGAGTCAGTCTGATCCTCTGAGATACAAGGCCAGATTGGTAGTAAAAGGCTACACACAAAGAAAAGGTATTGAATTCAATGAAATTTTCTCCCAAGTAGTTAAATTTAAAACAATTAGATTAATGTTTTCTATTGTTGCTCACCATGACCTAGAACTAGAACAATTAGATGTAAAAATTACCTTCTTGTATGGTGAATTAAAAGACACTATATTCATGTGTCAACCTATTGGTTTTAGAGATAAATATCTTCCTGATCATGTGTGTTTGTTGCATAAATTGTTGTATGGTCTTAAACAGTCCCCTAAGTAGTGGTATAAAAGGTTTGATTCCTTATTGTTCGCATTGGGTCTATTGGAAGTAAGTATGACAATTGTTTTTATTTTGCACTCACTAATAATATGCCTACATACTTGTTGTTATATGTTGATGACATGTTGTTAATAAGTGAGTATAAGTCTAAGATAGATGATTTAAAGGCAAAATTGAATGCTGAATTAGATATAAAAGACTTAGGATGTGCAAAAAGGATACTAAGAATGGTGATAGAGAGAAATAGAAAGCTGAATCAGCTAAAAATCCACCAAATGTCATATTTACAAAAACTTACCTCTAAGTTTGGAATGTCTGATTCCAAATTAGTTACTATGCCATTAGCAAGCCATTTTGTTCTTAGTAAACTACAATGTCCCAAAATAGAAGCTGAAATGACAAAATGGAGAACATCCTCATTCTAATGCAATAGGCTTAGTTATGTCTACTATGATTAGTACTAGACTAGACTTGTCATTTGTAATCTCTTTATTAAGTAGATATATGTCTAATCCTAGAATTGAGTATTGGGTTGCATTAAAATGGCTATCGAGGTATATTAACAGCTCTTTGCATGTTGGTTTGGATTATTGTAAAAGAAATGATACACTTGATCTTGTGGGTATGTAGACTCTGATTTTGCAAATGACAAAGATACAAGGAAGTCCACCACAACTTATTATTTTACACTTTGAGGGAATTATGAGAGTGTTTGTCTGAGCTTATGAAAATTAGCTTATAAGCGACAAGTGCTTATAAGTTAATTTTAGCTTATAAGCATTTAAAATTTTAAGCAATTACGTGTTTGGTTAAAGTACTTATAAGTGACTAATACGTAATTAACGTGTTTGGGAAAATGTGACTTATAAGTACATTTTATTATAAAATGACTAAAAAAGGTACTACATTAAATAAAGGTATACTATGGAATTTTGAAATTAAATAAGGATAATGTNGGCCTAATAAATTGGATCCATACCCTATATTTTCTACCCGGGTATGGACCGACCCACGGGTTTGGACTTTTTTCGCCAGGTCTAGCAATATGTAGAAAAATCGTTCTCCTAACCAAATGATTAGTTATGAAATCAAAGAAAGCAAATTGGCCAAACACTTCTAGCAACTAAAATTGAGCTACTTTGGCCATTGATAATTTAGTCATTAAAACACACTTTTTGCAACTAATTTAATGGTTGTGGAAAGAAAATTATCATATTTCGGTCCAACATTCACCAACTAAAATTTTGACAATTACAACTAAAGTTTTAGTAATTAAAAGAGGCATTTTACAATTGAAAAAGTAGTTGCAAAATGCTTTTACCAGATTACCCTTAAGCATTCAGCATCTATTTTTTTTATTTTTGGAAATTACTATCCGTTTTTTAGTCACTAAAAGCTACATTCTGCGACTAAATCAATAGTTGCTATGCAATTTTACCAAATTACCCTTATTCATTTGACATCTAATCTAAGGGACTATTTTTTGAGGCAATTAATAACTAAATTGCTGGTCGCTAAAGAAATTTTTTTGGCATCTAACCATGGTTTTTGTCGTGGATACTTTCTGCAATAGTGATTTTGCAATTAGTCAGCGACTAGGAATTTTAGACGCGACAAGCAATCAGTGTCTAAATTTGACTATTAGCATCTATTTTCAATAGACACCAAATCCATTTTTCTTATAGTGTATTAATATAGAAATTTTTTTTGGGAAAATTGTTTTCTACTTTATGTGAATAAGAATACGATAATATTCGGTAGAATCTAATTCAGATTATACACTCTGATATATTATTCCTCAACATTTTGTGTTTTGTTAACATTTACATTATGGTGCCCTAATGAAAAGATTGCAAGAGTAAAGAAGTTTCTCTTTTATATTGCATAAGAAATACCCACGTGCATCTAGTGTAATCATCCATGATGGTGAGGAAACAAAATGTTAACATTTACATTATGGTGCACTATGCAATATAAAAGAGAAACTCCTTTACTCTTGCAATCTTTTTATTCTTTTGTTGAAACTCAATTCAATAAGAAAATTAAAGTCATACGTTTTGATAATGGCTTGGAATTTGATACGGAAGAATTCTTTAAAATTAGAGGCATCGTACATGAAAAGAGTTGTGTTAACACACCTAAACAAAATGGGATTGTGAAAATAAAACATGGACATTTACTTAATGAGCTTTTTTTTTTCCTAGTTTCACTAGGACTTCTAATAAACA